AAAAAAAATAGAGACAAAAGAGGAGACACACAAGAAAAAGAATATAAAAGAGTGAATTAATATTAAAGCGAATATATGTCGTTTGAAACATGTACGTCGCTACATTCTGACATTCAATTTCATTTCACCATTTTACACGGCACAGTTTTGCAAATCAATAATTATTCTTGTATCTTAATATAAAATAACCTAATTAAAATAATTAAATTACGTCAAATTACATTAGCATGTCAAACTACGTTTTTAAGTCGACACAAACCGTGATTTAATACAAATTTTCAAGATTTTTAAAGCTAAAGTACATCTATATATATATATATATATATATATATATATATACGCGCGTACTAATCTATAATTGGCTAAATATAAACTTTTATATCTCAAAAATTACTGCTTAAAATAAAAATTTGCAAATATATAGGGTGTCCCGAAATTCGCGAATTAAAATATAGCAAAAGTCTTTGAAAAATTAAGTAAAAAAGTTATTTGCAATTTTTTATTTTAAGCAGTAATTTTTGAGATATAAGAGTTTATATTTAGCCAATTATAGATTAGACTACTAACACTATCGACGCGATCACGGACATGTTTCCTTTTAATCGTAATCTATAGCCAATTATACACAAAAATAAAAATTTGCATATAGCTTTTTTACTCAATTTTTCGAAGATTTTCGTACTATAATATTTTAATTCGCGAATTTCGAGACACCTTAGCTGTATATATATATATATATTTTTTTTTTCTTTTTAATGAAACATACATTATCTCAATAAGTTATTTCTAAGCAAAGTTATGAATTTTAAAAATATCTGGTACATATCTGTACCTCGAAGATATGAAGAGTTTTTAAATCGTATACTATTTCATGATTGTGAATTAATACAAATATCTATCTCTTTTATATGGATGATTGAATCTTCAGGAAATTGTTTAAAACGAAGCAAGGATGTAAGGAAGAAAGCAACTTTCTATTTAAAAATCTGATTAAAGTATTGGGAATGAATTGAGGAATGAAAACTACATAAAATTAAGTAGAAAGAATACTTCATTCATGTTTTACTACAAGCTCGTATAAATACGTACATAACATAAGAGTTTGATAATCGCTTAGCAGAAGATACAAGCGTATGTTTGATAATACAGTTATCATGTACAAAATTATGTATATATCATATATATAAATACATACACTCATGCATGCATATGAAGTTATCCTAATTAGTCCTTGTGTAATCGTTAAATATAGGTGAAAGTGATTCGTGGACGCATAGGTGATCGGGACTATCGGGAGAGGGTTCGTGTCTCGTGTGTGAGCGAAGGATTACCGTATTCAGAATAAAAGCCGTAAACGAGGGAGGTCCGTGATGGTTGTCGCCGGAAATGCACGCGGTACATGCCATATTTTGGTAAGGTAGCCCGTGTCCAACGGTTATTTGTGATAATTATGCGGTGGCAAATATTGATTGCTGGCACCGTCGCCACCGAAACCGCCTCCAAAACCATTTCCAGGTCCACCGAAACCGCCACCTCTGCCTGTTAATAGCATTATAATAATATTCAGTCTAATATTATCATAATATTTTTCTAAAGTTGTGTATATATATACATATCCCAGCACAAAAAGTTTAAAAAGAACTTATCGTATATTCATATTGTATAATCATATTATGTCATCAATTCTGAGTTGATTTTCAGGTGTAAAAAGAATTCTTTTTTAGAATTTCTAGAAAAATACTTCTTTTTGCATATGAAAATTAACTCAGAATTAATAACATACGACTGAATTCTTTTTGAGCTTTCTGTACTATCTGTATATAAATATATAATTTTTACGATACAAATATGGATATCTAGACAAAGCTCTGTTCAAAATAAGTGATTCACATATTAATCTTATATTATTATCAACAATTTCAAGTTAATTAAATAATTAATTTAATTTCAAATTTGTCGTGCATATGCATTGAACTGTTTTATATTTGACTTCGCGTTTATCTTAATATATAATTTTAAATTTAATTTTTGGTGCACGGATATTTAAATACATTGCTTCATATCACTGTTATATGAGAAGGATAATACCAACCTCCTTGATAACCGCCACCTTGATATCCGCCTCCTCCGTATCCTCCCAAACCACCACGAGAATATTGAGCCTGTCCTTCGTACTGAACCTCCGCGTTGTATCCATTTACATCGTCAGCCATGTACCGAACAATTTGCGTCCTCGAGTCCGGCAACAGAACTCTGTACTCTCCTTGAACGACATTACCGTCGCTGCTCTCGCGCTGAGAGTAATCGTTGCCGCTCGGCGGATCGACGACTTCATATTGGAAGCTGTACGGTTGCGGCTACGAAATAATATCTAATAAACTATCATCGTATATATATATATGACAAAGTGGAAAGGCGATGAGAAGCAAGAATAATATCTAATTTATTAACGTATAAAGAAATAAAAAAATATTAAATAATAAATGAAAATTTCGCTGAATAAAAATATTTCTGAGTTGTACGTCAAAGTTATATATTATTTATCCTTTTAAATTTCAAACATATAAACGAATATGTTAATAATGTAATGATGTATAAAGTAAAATTTGATGTGTGTATGTAGCAGTATTTTTTTTAACAGCTTTTTAGAATATTCTTTTATTCTCCTAGAGAGTCTATTTTGGAGGTCGGAAAATACATTGAGACTAATTTTACCCTTCCTTCATCGCGTCCGCCGTATCCATATCCTCCTTGGTATCCTCCGGCACCACCATCTTGGTATCCACCGCTGCCGCCCTCGCCGAACTGCGGATGTCTATACGACGGTTGCCCTCCGAATCCTCCGGCTGCACCCGGTCTGCCAAAGTCGCCACCACCGGGTGGACCGTAAGCTTGGCTGGGTCTCCCCCTGCCGATGCCCGCGAAGTCGCCACCGCGGCCGCCACCCCCGAAACCGAAGTCACCCGCGTATCCTCTACCCGCGAAACCACCGCCGCCCGCGCCTGGTCGATTGTACTGATATCCCCCGGCACCTGCGCCACCCCCCGGCAGAAGACCCGCCAGGACATCGCTGCCGATGCACGACAGCACCAAGACCAGCTTGGCCAACTGCAATCAGAGAGGAGATTCTGCGGCTTTGCGACGAGGTCGGTGAGTAGCGAATTATAATTGTAAACGAAATATCATTACATCAGATTAATACATAAATTTGCAAATTTACTACGTAACTTTGCTCGAAAATACATCTATGATGGTAATAAAGCATGTGGATCAATTAAGATATAAATGCGATATCGGAGAACGTGAAAAAATGAATAATATTCAATCATAAAATCATTAAAAGTGATGACAACTTGCTTGCCAAGTATTACGAAATTACGAAAGAGAATGATGATTATATACCACTGAGACTTCCGGTCTCGACTCGTTAGAGTTTTTTACTCCGAAGGAGAGTGCATGCGTCGAATGGGTCATTTCAGAGATGACCGAGACGCCGAGATATTGCGGGACCGAGATGCTGGTGGACATTGCGGTGTCCGCTGCGATAATCGCGTGTTACTGAGGGAAAGTGGGGCACAATCTGGCATCCCTCCGTTATATGCGGTTATAAGTCTACGACATCACGTAGCGCGAGGGAAAACCATATCGATGCGGAATATCTAAAATCTCGATTATACTATTATATCGTTTGCGGTGGAAAAGGATTTTATCATCGATTATTATTATACCGATTACGTGAACACGTTAAGCTCGTTCAGATAGAGGCGCACCAGAAGAGTGCTGCCTAAAAAAAATTCTTAGAGACGTTTTCAACCGCGCCGTCTTCCTCGACTTTTATCTTGGACAGTTTGTTCATCCGATTATTAACTTTCTTAATCGGCTTTTGCCACAACGCTTATTGGCGGTACGCAAGAAAAGGCAAAACTGCATAGGTGACCGGGATAAGTTGCAACATTTGTCATAAATGTCGCACCTTTCACGGCTGTGATGCGTTGTCACCAAGTTGAGAGTCATCGCCGGCACAATGGAAGATAATTACAAATCGCGTTGCATACGCGCATCACAAGCGTTATAAGACTTCAGATTAGCGATCACTGTTGCAATTTATTCCTGATGTTATTAACTACCTCCTATTTTCTTCTATTTAAGCAAATTTAAAATGCTGTCTGTTACGATTGCTTGTTCATTCATACTTTATCAAAGATATTTTGTTTGTAAGAATAATAAGAGGGAAAGGCAGCTATAACAACTTATAAATACTCGATATCGACTAAAGACTAAATGATCGATTATAAAGAGCCTTTGACTTGTATTTTTTTTTTATATATATACGAGAAAGAGAACTGTGTCTTTCAATTTTCTATTGTTTATCAGAATAATGAAATTTTTTTAGGCATTTTAAAATTTATCGATGAATAAATTAGGGAGTAGAATTAAAACTCAGTTAACAAAGATATATATTATACATATACTGATTCCCCATAACTCTTTCTAATTCTTTGAAGCCGAAATATGATAAGAAAAATATTTTTTTTCTAAAATTTTTAAGCATCCAGTAATTTTTCTTTAAACTTTTGTAAAAAAAATAAGTAAAATAATTTATGCGAAAAATGTATGTGTGTGTGTGTGTACGTGTGCGTGTGCGTGTGCGTGTCTGTGTGTAAGTGATACAGAGCAAAATAAGTTTTAATAAGTAAAACGTTTGTAAATATAAAATTTATTGTTAGCAATAACATTTAGAGTTATTAAATTAATTATTGCAAAACCCGTTGGCGGACCATTGCATTTTGTAGCGGAAAGGGTTAAAGCGGGGTCTCGCTCACGATACTATCTGGTGGCCTACCTGGTGGCAATTCATATTGCTGTAGGACCGAAGACACGAAGCGAACTGAGAAGATGATCCTCCGGGGAGTTTATATATGGCGCAGACCCTTTGTTACAGTTTATCCTTCGTACTGCATATCCATGTATTAACTGGTGTATTAGAATGACCGACCGCACTGTGGGAGGGTGTGGGAGGCGGAGAGGTGCGCATCTTCCCTTCACTCCGTGTGATGCATTGTGGGAAGAGATAGCCCGTTGATGACTGAAATGGCTTTAAAATTTTAATTGGGGCTACGCACGTGACTTTCGGTTTCTCGATCGGGTCATCTCGCATCTCGGTAGAACATATATGTATTTGCGTCCGGGAACGCCGCGTAGAAATCGATTTGTAGAATCCGACACGTAGAGGTACGTGTCGAAAAAAAAAATCCGAAAAAGAATTGTCACGCTTGAATCAATCGTGAACTAACGAAGTGCATTGCTTAGAACATCTAGAAAATTAGATTGTAGACTTAGAAAGCTAGACCCGGGGTGAGTCTGTTGGTTGAATTAATTCTCACGATTATAAAAAAGCTAAAATGTACTCATACGTTTAATGTTTGGATGAGAAAATCATAGTTATTATGAGCACAATTTATTAATTTTTCTTTATTACATTATAAATATTTGGGAATATTGTTTAATATTATTATTTTTATATTGAATGTATGTCCTGCAATGGATTGGAATAGACAGTTGAACGTGAAAAAAGTGATAGGCTAGTGAAAGGTATGGCTTATTTTAAATTTGCAATTATGATTACTCGAGCATTTTCTTATATGTATAGAATGAGAATTTTGCATGGGTATTATACATAGGGAATTAAAGCGTAACTTCAACGTATTGCGTATTAAGCGCAAAAGAAAGGGGAAATATTAGGAACGTATCCCTCAGCCAGTACTATCTATTCCATGCAAAATGAGAGCTTAAAATTGAACATTTAAATTTCCATAAATAATTTACCGAGGTGACACGGTTTTGCTAGGCATAATTTCTGTGCAAAATACATCTGTTAAAAAAAAAATTTACGCGTCCGCATTCCTGTAGACTTTCAAACATATTACACGCGGATAAAATCGAAAGGATATTTAAATCGACTTGTCAGAAGGCCAAAAAAAAAAGAAAAAAAAAATAGAAAACGTTTTCGCGCCGCGCGCTCGCGGAGGCGAGTGTGAAGCTTCTCAAAACTATCGCGAATCATCGTCGGGCGATTGGGCAATCGGCCTCCGTCGGCGCGGACATATATTTTCGACATCACGTATATACTCTCCGTGTAGGTATAATAAAAAGAATCCCAGGCACGTGGCGGCGAGAACGCGTCCGACGCGTTGCACGCGCGAGCAAGAATGCGATTGCACGATGCCGCGGCGGCAGATCGAGGCAGCTCTAGGAAAATTCGCATGGTGCATCTGCCGCGCCGCGCCGGCGGGCTCCCCGGCGATCCTCGACACATTTTCCCGTCCGCGGGAAGCGCTAGATCTTACCGGGTTCCCTTCCCCCTTGCCCTCCCTCTGCCACCGGCCGATTCGATCTCGAAGACGGCCTTCGAAATGCGATGCCGCACTTTCGAACCGTCTGATCGGATGAAAAAAAAGGCGCCTCATCGCTGGCAGGGCAACGCTGATCTCATCCTCGGATCCCGAAGTGTATCGAACCAATTACCGAGTTTGTAGTTACGAATGAAAGGTGGATGTGAAGAAATACGCCTGCCGGTAATCGGACCGAGAGTGTTGGTAGAGAGACGCGACGTGAGGATGAGTGGGATATAAATCCAATCTATTCGGTGTAGTGCCGTCGCGCGCCGCGTCCCCGCCGCCGCCGCCGCCGCCGCGCCGTCGTCGTCGCTGCGTTCCAGATAAATAATACCCGCATACACGCGGTGGTGGTCGCCGGTTCCCGGCGGTTTCTCGTATTACAATCAAACGCTTCGACAAATCAGCCTCGTTATATAGGTATATATACGCGACGTCTCTTATTGAAACCCCATATCCGCGGTCGGCGGACGCGACGCGGCGGAGGCCCGGTCGGTTTTTCTTCGCCTGTCCTCCATCAGACACGCGACGATCCCAGCGGTGCGTTAAAACCGCCGCGGTTTAACGTCGATATTACCCGTATATATACCCGCGAGCCCGCGAGTGTATTACGAGGCGCACGTACGACGACGAGAGAGGCGCGCGCGCTTCGACCGTGACGGCATTCGCGAAATTGGGCTCTCCGCAAGTCAATTTTCTCTCCCTCGCCTCGCGGCGCAACGTGTCGCGCGCGGCGCTCGCCTGCCTCGCTTGGTAAACTTTGACGAGGTACGTGGACGAATTCCCGATATATCGCGTCATCAGGATATACTGCAGCAAATAGTTAGATATGACGTGCGTCATTGATACACATATCGCCGCGTTGATAGATAAATGAAC